TTTCTTTTTTCTTTTCCTACTGTTTCACAGTTGGCCTTTGTAACTGCTCTTGGCTCTGGAGTGTTTTCTACACAGAAATCGTTAAGTCTGTAATTTACCACGCAGATGGAAACGCGTTTTGTTTCCATCAGACACAAACGATGCAGAAGCAGAGTGTTAAAGCAGAGTCCAATAAGGATTTTTTCTTTTTTCAAAGTCTTCTGACTAAAAACACGTATTTATTTTCTCTACTAGCAGCTGTGGAGGCTTTCTGAACTGTGTGGAGTACGCTGCATTTCAATGTCAATTCAGCTGTGGGGGCATCTGGGCAGCTTTCCTCATCATGGTCAGCCTTTAATAGTGACCTTGGTTGGCTGATGACAGCTGAGTCATGACTTTTTAGCGTCATCTATTGTCATGAAAAGAAAGAGAAGGGTGAGCTCCTCTCCTGTACTGAGTTGTTTGCAAGGAGAGAACGTATTTGGAGTCCTTTCATGAAGTCATCTCCCCAAACAACATCACTACTCTTCGTTGCAGAAGGAGTCTTGTCACACAGGTTTGATGCATCCTTTTTGTTTTTATCACTCTGTGATGTAGTAAGTGGTGTTTTGAAGGCCAGGGGGTCCAAAGTACAGGCCAGATGTGCCTGAAGGTGATTTTCATTTTTTGCCTCGGCTCTGGTGCACAGAATCACCCCACAGTCACATGGAACCTGGTCACGGCTGGAGAGGGGGCGTTTCCAAGATCTGAACTCTGGCACTGAAGGGCAGCAGAGCTGGGAAGGGTCTGGAGCTCAAGTCTGATGAGAAGCAGCTGAGGGAGCTGGGGGGAGGCTCAGCCTGGAGAAAAGGAGGCTCAGAGGGCACCTTATTGCTCCCTACAACTACTTGAAAGAGGGTGGAGCAAGGTCAGGGCCAGTCACTTCTCCCAGGTAACAGGACAAGAGGAAATGGTCTCAAGTTGTGCCAAGGGAGGTCTAGATGGGATGTTAGGAAAAATTTCTTCTCTGCAAGGGTTGTCAAGCACTGGACCAGGCTGTCCAGGGCAATGGGGGTGGACCTGGCAGGGCTGGGTTGATGGCTGATCTCAATGGCCTTAAAGGTCTTTTCCAACATAAAGGAGCCCATGATTCTGTGACTCCTTGCCCAGACTCAGGAGAGCAGCTTTAATGCTCATCTCCTCACCTCCTCAGCCATTCCCTGCTGGGTCCCTTTCTGCAAACTTTTCTCTGCTCACAGACCTGGGCTTTCCCAGCATGGGATCAGGTGAGAGGAGAGGGCAATGTCCTCTAGATAAAAGGGAAGTTCAAGGATCCTGACACCTCTGCCCCACAGCCAGGAGTCAGGGTTGCCTCACGGTTGGTGTCACTGACACCAAGGGTGTCCCCACTGTCTCTGTGGTGCCTGTGGGGCTCCTCTGGCAACAGGAGCTGCTTCACCCCACAGCTCCCATCAGGGAACAGGGCCAGGCCGGGCTCTGCTGCCCCTCCATGCCTGAGATACCTCTGAGTCTGCCTATCCAGCTTCCTCAGCAGTGGGGAGGCTCTGATACATGAACTTGGGTCTCCTCCAAAGGGGAAATGGAGGTCAAAAGGCTGTGACCTGAAATACAGACAGGCCTAAGTGAGGGTGTAAGAGCAGGAGCAGGGCCTCACTCCCATTTCTGACATAGGAGGGTCTTAAGAAAGGCTTGGACATTAATTGATATGTCTTAGCAAACCCTTCATGGAGTCTATGGCATGTGCTCACCACTGGGACCCTCAGCACCGTCCCACAGCCCTCCAGCCACGGCTTGGCTGGACAGGGCTTTGGCAACTGGATGGTCTTTAAGGTCCCCACCAACCCAAACCACTCTGGGATTCTATGAAATGGGTCTTCAGCCTACAGGAGGCATGAATGAGATGGAAGCAGAAGTACATCAGCTCTGCTTGGATGCCTTTATTTATGAAACAAGCTAAAAGAGAGAGTCTCAGAGCACAATTCCCAAAAGAAGCCGTGGTTCCCTCAGTAACTGTACATTTGGCTCCAAGCTTTTCCCCCAGCCTTTACCTTCAATGCCTTGTTTTCCAGAAAAGCCTGAAGGAGGCAGCCCACAGCCTTTTCCAAGGAAAGAGTGCCCTTGGGCAAAAGAGTGAGCTCCTATGTTCTCAGGGCACTGCAGAGGAAAACCACAGCACATCCTCTGAAAAGCAGTCCCAGAGAGAAGAGGGCACCACAGCCAGTCCCTCCTGGCAGGACATTGTCACGTGGCACCGATTTTATACAAAACTCTCTTTTCATCAAACTGCATATCCATGAGGTACTTTGGTGCATGGAAAACACACGGGCATCACAACAGAGA